AAACCAAATCCCCTATATACAAGTTCACTTATATAGCCAACCAGCACATGTACTCCTGAACTTAAAATAAAACATTAATTTAAAAATACAATTGCTAAAGGAGTTTTACCATTGTCATAGTTGTCTGATTTGCAGTACACTGACTGATAAAAGGATGGAGAAAATCTTGGGTTCAATTGAGAGTTAGCAGCAATTTATTTTACTTAGCTCCTTCATCTATATTAAATTCTGTTTTTCACTTGATTGATGGTAGTTTATTTCTTCTGTAAGATCAGAAAACATCGTATAGGATAACCTCACCTAAAGTAGGAAGTCTCAAAATTTAAAGAAAGCAAGGCTTCAAAACTTTATGAAACTTGCTTCAAGTTCTCTAGCCTGCTACTCAATGAGTAATATGTTCAATAAAAGCCAATATAAATAGGCAGTATCCAATCTACCTCACATGCTTCCTCAATGCCAGGTAGCTGAGTTATAAACTTTTTATATATGAAAAAATGATAACATTAAAAATATATGAAAGTTGAAATGGTAACATGGATGTTATTTGCCCTCATTTTCCAGAAGGGAAGCTGGAATCTGAGAAAGCATACGTAACTGGGCCATGGCACGCAGTAATGAACCTATAATTTGAACTCAGATCTGGCTGTGTTTAAAGCTCATACACGTTATACTATATCTTTTTGTTACCTCATATATAGTGACTGTTTCTAGCATTTGACGTGATACTTATGAATATTAAGACTATTTTAAGGATGGTACAGAGTAATTGCATTACCTTTAGAAGAGGTTAACTCGTCTTACACGAAATAAATGATTTTGTAAATTCCATCACTGACAGCATTGGAAACCAGCATGTACTTTGTTCTTTTAGTTTCTGAAAGAGGTGAGTGTGCAAGTCTTTTCTTCCAGCTGATTCTGATTATTACTGACAGAAAAAGCGTTCTTCTGTAAGCAATGTCTCTACTGAAATTTAGTATTTGTAATATATACATCTCTCCAAGAGAGGTTGACATACTCTTAGGATAAAATAAAATAAAAAGTAGAGATATAAATTCAGTGTTAATTGTATCAAAATGAAATTAAAAGGAAGTTAAGGGAAACTCACGTTAACAGTGAAAGACATTCACAATATTAGAAAAGGTAGAGGAACTAATGGTTGGAATTGAATGTTGGAAGTGGACTTTAGAAAAAACAGACTTAAATATGCAGGACTCTACTTGCTCTGCTGACTTGATATAAACTTTTCCATATGTAAACGGAAGTCTGCTGTGGCTAATCATGTTGATATTGTAATAATATTTTTCAATTAATATTTGATCTAATCCTGTGATGAGACGGGAGGCATATTATAAGATTAGAGATGACCTGGAAAATGTAATATGATTAGCTGTCACATCCAAGGATGTGCTAAGATGGTAACCAGAAGTTAGGCTGCATGATTATAACATATGATAATTTATTGCATTCCAACATGTTCCTAAATCTGGAAGAACATAGCATTGTACCAGATATTGTCAATAACAGATTCCACAATGATTAGAAATATGATCAAGACATATATGTGTATAATCTCCAACAACCATCTAGTATAATTTCAATTCTCTAGGTTTTTGGAAAACAGTTGACTTATCGTAATTATGTATAAGAATAACAGAAAAAAGCAAGTATAGGTGTACATTACCTCCTGTATTACTATCCCAAAAGAATAAGCATGATCTGTAAAGAGCAGTATTGCAGAAGTGCTTATAATGGTGAGTGTTCACGTTGCATAGGTGTTTCCACCAAGAAAATATGACCATGTTTCTAGGCTCTACTGGCCACAGCAGATTTGTTGAGAAATGAATGTGCCAAGGTCTAAGACAACCCTCTTTGGACTGGCCAATGACCACCATGTAGCCTTATAGGAGAACCACGCCAATCAAGAATGTTCTGTGTGAAATAACACATAGCTGACTTGGTTACCTTAAATACGAAATACCATGTGGGTCCTCAGTAGTTAGTGGCCAGGAAAAGAAGTTGAGAAACATAAAAGAACAGTCTGTGGAAATCATGAATAAGCTGCAATAATGAGGCCAGTAGGAAGGAAAGAAAAGAGGTTACTTGTCTTGTCAGTAAGAATAGACACATTTTCTAACTTACCCTAATAGCTAAGCACAAGAAGAAAAGACTGGTTCTCGCAGGAAGTATTGTGTTACCCTGGGTGGATATCCTGTGTGGTACTCCAGGCATATCATGAAGTGGTAAGACGTTTTCCCCATTTTTTCACATTCACATTTTTCTCTGTAGTTTTAGTCCTGTGAATCCATTCAAAGTGAGTACATCTGTTTCCCTTACAAATGAAAAGATTACAACCGACTCCATATCTTACATGTTCATTGTTCTGGTAGACAATGGATGTGTTCTAGGTTCTGCTACCTGGTTCACATCCAGCTGAGGGCATTGGCTAGTTCTGTGGCCTTGGATAAGTCAGTTAAGATGTCTAAACTTTGCTTTCATGTTATTTAAAATTGAGCCGATCACAGTACCTATCCCATTGTAGTGTTCTGAGAAATAAAGGAAGTAATTGATATATCTGCAATTGCTCAGGTGCTCAGAAAATGATAGTTGTTATTATCAACAGGAAGCTTGATTATTAGCTGTCACCTTACCTGTCAAGTAGCAAAAATTAGAGATCTTTTCTCTCCTTAGCAACAATGAACACTTGGATTTTGCAGGAAGCTCAAGGAACCATTTCCTAACACTGTGTTTATATAAGCACATTTGAATTTTGGAGTATATTTTCTTTTGGTCCTATTGTATTTACACAGAGGAAGTGGATGTTTCCTGAAAGAATGTAACTTAGGAGCCAGTTTAGAGAAATCATCCTGTTTTTCACGAGGACCCAATTAGCAACTGAATTTACTTTGACTCTTTCTCAAGTACATTGAAAGGAATTGAACAAGTCTTGGAAAAGCAGTTCCGTTTGACCACTGGTAGTCAACAATCTAACTTGGTTTTACAGGGGCAAGAAAAATAGCCCATGATCTGTTTTGTAAATGGAGTTTGGTTGGAACACAGCCACGGCTATTCATTTCCATGTTGTCAGG